GTCCTCCTCTGCGCCGCTGTCGGCACCGTCGACTTCCTCATCGGCAGGGCCGGATGGTCTCGAGTGCTTCCGAAACGCCGCCAGGCATTCTGGGATGTCCTCGTCGTCGGCACGATCCTTGAACTTGCTGACGTACTGCTCCATGTCGCGCCTCATTGCCCTCAATCTCTTGGCCAAGCCCTCTGCCCACTTGCTTCTCGAGTCGCTCAGGTGGAACGTGTCTTCCTTCTCCGCCGCCACTGTGTCGAGCGCCTTCTGTAGCTGGAGTTGTGGCAAGCCCGCTGGCAGCAACGCTATCGTGTCTGCCCACTTGAGCAACTCGACGTTGTTGCGCGGGCCTCCTGTCACATCATCCCTGTAGTCGGGCCTGGCGGTCGAGGTGATTACCTTACTGAGATCCTCGGTGAGCGCATCAAGATCATCATCGGATATGCTGGCTCTCCTCTTGGGAGCCATCTAGGCCGTTCTGCGCGCAGATGCACTCGGCGCGTGCGCAAACCTGAATGTTTTGAGCCAAAACGGCAACAGAAGTCACGCTGAACAACAATTCGAATCGATGAGATTCGGCATGCCTGCCGAAAAATCAATGTGTCAAATCAATGAGTCATTGAGCGCGCCCTCAAGGGTACCGCCCTGCACGCTAGGATTCCGAAACTACCACGCCTGTGGTATCGCCCTGGCCAGCGATCGGCTGCGAATCCAGCTATGGCGACGAGGGTGGCACCACGCGCTACACCACGCGCCCTTCCATCTCCCGAATTCTTCTCTCTCTTGGGCGGGGGTTGGGGAGGGGGCTGGAGTTGGGGGCGTAACTAACATTGCTAGCTGCATGCCCCCGATTTGGTTCCGAGCGGGACTCCAATGGGTCGATCACGGGGCAATTCAGGAATCACCGCGAGACAGGCACGGGGAGATGTCGGCACCGAAAGGGGAGAGGTGAGCGAGAGTAGACAAGACACCTTGCAAAAAAAGAGAACATAAAAAGAAGAGCCGCTGCAGTCCTCCCGTTCCGCGACGCGACCTTCCAGCGCCATGGCCGCGCGCGTATCTGTCTGGAGAAGAGAAGGTAGGATAATCTTCTCGGGCGCCCCCCGCGAACTCAGCCGCTGACTGGCGGCGAACGACAACGCGCTGCACAATGCTCGCCGTCGTCCCTCGGTTTCGTCTCCCCCGTCGCCCTCGTCGTATCTGTCGTCGTCGTCGACCGCCGTCGCCATCGTCGCCATCGTTTAAACGATGGCGACGATGGCGTTTCCGTCGTCGTCGTCGCGGCAGCTTCCGTCGACCATGGCGCGTGGAATTATTTGACACTAGTGCCAAATAATTCCACGACCCCCGAAAGGGGGTTGGCGGGTATGTGAACCCAAGATGTCGATGTTTCTCTATGTTTCCTCATCCTTGTCCTGTTTCTCCCTCCCCCTCTCTGTTTTTATCCTTCTGTTTGTTTGTTCATTTCCCCCTGTTTCTAGTTCGTGCCTTTTTTTTATTGTGGCGCACAAGATGTCAGAAACAAGAAGATCGAAACAAAAAAAAATGTAACTCAAAGAGTTGTTCACCAACTTTGTAAGCAAAACAAAGAAAAGCTTATAAATAAGTTTTGGATCTTATTATAAGCTTCAGCTTCGTAAAGCTTAAAATAAGCCGGTGTGAACCTCAGGGGTTGATAAAGTTTGATCGAAACTTCTTCCTGAGCCCCTGGCTGCCGAGAGGCTTCAACAGGGGCCCCCCGTCCGGGCGCGTGCAGATCCAGCACTCCGACGCCCCCCCCGCCTGCGTGCATTCGTTTTAAATCGTCTGAGCGAGGCCGGTCTGATTGAGTGGAGGCTAGGGTGCAAAGAGTCTGTGGCCATTTTCGCCGTTTTTAATAAGTCGGGAACATTGAGAGCCCTTATAGATGGGAGACGGGCGAGTTGTTGGTTTTCAGATCCAGACCCCGTGCACCTTGCCATCGGCGCCTCTTGTGCGAGCATCCAGGTTGACACGAAGGAGCCTATTTGCGCTGGAGGAGTTGATGTTGCTAACGCTTTCTATGATCTGGCTCTCCCACCGTCTCTCTGGGAGTACTTCGGCCTTCCTAAGATACGGGCGGGGATCGTGGGGGTCTCCAGCGTTGGTGGTCAATCGGTGGGTCCGTCAACGTTCATCAAACCTACATTTGTTGCGATTCCCATGGGGTGGAAACTGTCTCTCTGGATTACGCAAGAAATCCTCGAATTTCATTCTAGAAGCGTCCCTGGCATCGGTTTAGATAATGCTCTCTTCGACGGGAGACCGGCTCCACCCCTTCGACCCCTTGTCCATGCGGAATACGTGGACAACTTCGTTTCTCTCAGTCAATCTCTGTCTGACGCGCAGGCAGCGCCGGCCAACGCGTCCACCCAGCTGTCCTCCGCGCCCCTTCCTGTTCACCCGTGCGAGAGTTCAGTGGGCGGGACCGCGCTGGGCTGACAGTTCTCAGCAGACGCAGCCGACATTGGGCTGAATCCGCTCATGTGTTGGAAAATACCATTCGCTTTCATCGAATAGTGCCGGCGCCTATTCGCATCTGGTCGTGCCGTGGAAATTCGACTCTCCCATCATACTACTAGGTGCCTCATCCGGCGCGAGCTCCTCCGTGTCTTTAACGCTGCATATGCCTTTGCCGAGCAGGTCGGGGACAGGGCCATCGAGATCTGGCCGTCGGTGCTTCGTGAGCTGGGTTGGGCCAGTCATCTTATTGCGTTGGCCTTCCGCGACTTGGGGGCCGAGTGGGGCCCTGAGGTCACGGTGGTGGATGCGTCTTCCTGGGGCCTTGGTGGTTGCTCGCGCGTGGTCTCGGACATAGATCTTGCGCCCTTGGGGTCTTTCAATGAGCGGTGGCGATTCGCGCGTTCCGGGGAGAAGGCCTTCAACCCGCGAGACTCCGTGCTCCTCGCACAGCGCCTCGGAGGCCACCATCAGGACTCCCCTCCTCACATCCCCGTCGGTTCTGCGCCCCCGGTTCCTGGGGGTCTGTGGGGCGCCCCTTGGGTCCTCGCAGAATCCAGAGCCTGGCGGCGGTCCGAGACCCAGGTGTGTCTTGGGGGAAGAGCGATGGTCTGGGACGTGAAGCGGAAGGCCCAGGCACTCCGGAGCTTCGGCCGAGGGCACCTCCACCTCGGGGGCCCCATGGCCCCCATCCTCGCGGACACGAAAGGTCGGTCCTCCACGAGACTAATGTTTCGAGCGCGTCGGCAGCATGGAGCTTTATCATTGGCGTCGTTTTCTTATCATACCTGGAGATGGGTCCCTTCAAAACACAATGCAGGGGGCCCGGGGGCCCGGGGGCGTCGATGCGCTCTGGCGGCCGCCTCGGCTCGAACCACTTCTTCGAGGACTCCGGTAGCCTGCGCTTCATGCAACTATCTCTCCCCAGCCGGGGTTTGAAGAGCTGCGCGCCTCGGTTGCCACGGCCTTCGAGGCCGCGGCAGATGCCCCGGCTGCTTGGCAGGGCCTCGGCGCCCGCGAGCGGCGAGTCAGAGCCGCTGGCCGCGTCCTCGCCAGCGCCTCTGGCGTCGCCGACGCTGCCTCGCCCGGCGGCCGCACCTCGAGAGGTGATGGCCGGCCCGCGGGCGCGGCCGGCGGCGGCCCATGGCCCAGCCAGGAGGGCCCGGGGCCCCCTGGGTCGCCTGGAGACTCTTGAGCTGTGCCCAGCGCAGCCTTTCAACTCAAATGAAGCTCGAGCTTTGGTTTAGCACGCCTGAGCTTGATCTAAGCTGCCGGAGCTGTATCCGTGCAGATGTCTCGAACATCAGCAACCTTGTCTGGTTATTGGCAAACACAACTTATGTTGCTCATCGAACGTCATCAACTGTTTCTGGATATTGTCGGACGCAACTGATGCCCGACTTGCGTTTTCATCGCACGTCATCCACCTTTTTCGGGCTATCGACAAACAACATATGTCCGATGCAGGTTTTCATCCAGCGTCATCAACATTTTCGGGTGAATGATAAACAACTTATGTCCGACGTACATTTTCCATCAATCACCATCAACTTTTTCGGGTTCGCAACATCATGATGGCCCCCGCGCGAGAAGTCCTCACAATCTCTAGAGCGTTTGACATATGTGCGCATGTGTATGCATATACTTATGCAAAATATGTGGCGGGAGACAAAGAGGGAGAGATATTGAGAGAGGGATGAAACAAAACAGACAAAGGGAACAGGAGGGGATCGGGGGCAGCAGGGACGAGCGCACACGCCGACAACTCCTGCACTCGGATGGCGGAGCCGCGCACTCCTGGCATGAATCGTGATTCGGGTTCGGGATGCTTGCACGTGGGTCATGGTCAATTGCAAGACTTCTTGGTGCTTCGTCGCCATCGCAGGCGTCGTCGTCGCCGTCGCCGTCGCCGTCGCCGTCGCCGTCGTCCTCCTCGCCCTTGCCCTTGCCCTCGCCGCCGCGGCGGGGCCTCTGCCACCGCGAGCGGCGGGCGGCGCGGATTGCGGAAACGCTGCGCAGCGCAGGCACACGAAAAGCGTCCTGGCCTTCGGGGGCCTGTACAGCCGTCGTTCGCGTCGTCAGCCTTCGGGTGCCAAACGTAGACAACTCTTGTTCGCGAGGCCCGAGAGTCGTCGTCGTCGTCGTCGTCGTCGTCGTCGTCGTCGTCGTCGTCGTCGTCGTCGTCGTCGTCGTCGCCCCTTCCTCCTCCTCCTCCCGCCGCTGCGACGGCGACGGCGAGGGCGACGCCAACGCCGACGGCGACGGCGAGGACGTCCTCGTCGCCCTCGTCGTCGTCGTCCTCGCCGTCGCCGTCGGCGTTGGCGTCGCCCTCGCCGTCGCCGTCGCAGCGGCGGGAGGAGGAGGAGGAAGGGACGACGACGACGACGACGACGACGACGACGACGACGACGACGACGACGACGACGACGACGACAACGACGACGACGACGACGAATCGCCGAGCTCAGCCATTTTGGCCAACCTTGGCGCTCGCCAAGGATAGGGGGGTGGCCGGGCGACGCGCCCGCGGGAGCATGCAGGCGCGCCACGCCCCGGGGGCCGCGCGTGCCGCGTTCCTCCTATTCCTCCCCCTCCTCCTCGACGCCGTCGCCCCCTTGCTGGTGCAGCTTATCCCCGTCCTTCTCTTCCTCCGAGTCTTCCTCTTCCTGTTCCTGCGCCTCCTCATCATCCTTATCCTTCTCCTTCCCCCCTCCTCCTGCAGGACCTCGTCGTCCTCCCGATCTTCCTGCCGCTCCCCCTCCTCCTCCTCCTCCTCCTCCTCCTCCTCCTCCTCCTCCTCCTCCTCCTCCTCCGTGAGGTCCAAAGTTCGGGGTCCTAGACCTTCTCGAGGTTCGATGCCCCACCGTCTCGAGCCCAGGTTCGAGGCTCGAGGTTTCTGGAAATTGTCTTGGGGGGGTTGGGTGTCCCTGGAGGTGTTCGGGCCGAGGGATATTTTCCAGCAGTTGCGCCTAGAACGTTCCGCGAGGGTGCCCGAATCGTTGTGAACGTTCTGGGGGGGCCCGAATCGTCTTGACCATTATTCTGGGGGGAAGGGTCGGGAGCTGAGGATGGCGGGAAGAGAAAAAGGGAGAGGGAGTGGGAAGGGCAGTGAGACGGGGGCAGGGGGAGCTGAGGAAAAGGGATGCAGAGGGCGTGGGGGGAGGAGGGAGGAGGGGCAAGAGGTGAGGAGGGAAATGGAAGATGCCAACAGCCATTTTGGCTCGAAGGTGCTGGGCGCCGCGGGCTCCGAGGTAGCCCGGTGGCATTCGATCGGTTACCCTTGATGAGTGCCGCCGCTGCCGACGACGGCGATGCGTCTGTGCTCAGTTGTTCTGCGTCTTCAGTCGGTGGTGGATCTAGCTTGACGGACAGAAAATGGCAGTCCACGAAGCGTCGGAAGGTAGATTGGACGAGCAAGCAGTGCCACGACGACGCGGTGGAAATCTTGAACACATTGCCACAGAAGACCAGAGATCTGGTCGTCTCTGGGCGCTACAAGGGCGGCAGGATCATCAAGGGCGTCACGCATGAGACGCCGACGATGGCGCTGTGCGAGCAGCACTACGTGTTCGCGTTCCCGATCCTCAAGCAGCATCCCTTGAAGATCCCGTCGCCGTTCTGCATCGCGGACACCCTGCTTGCCTTGGACGAGCTGCTTTCTTTCAAGCTCTTGGTGATCCCAGGTGCGGCAGAGACTCTCGCTAAGGAGAAAGCGGACCTGGCCATGGCGGAGGCGAAGGATCTCAAGCGGATTTGCGCTCACGTCAGGTACTTGGCCAGGGACGGTCGCGGTTCGTACTCCGAGCTGATGCAGAACATGAAGGCGGTCGTCAAGTTCGCGAAAAAAGATAAGCTCGGGGACGTCGACGACGGCGCCGAGGAGAAGCCTGGGGACGACGACGGTGGCGAGGAGCCCGAGGTCGACGACCACGGCGGCGGTGCCGCGGCGGCCCCGGACAGCAGCGGTGCCGCGGGCGACGTCGCCGATACCTTGGTCGACAGCGAGGCTGGCGCCGAGGACTGGCTGAACGAGCCCCAGCCGAGCTTTCGCAATCGGGCGGATGACCATCAGCTCTTCGACGAGGACCTCAGGGAGTTGGCGATTGATGTCGGAATCACGCCCCCCTCCCGCGGCCCGACGACGCCGACCGTGGCGGACAGCCAGGACCGCTCTTGGGATAATTTGAGGGGATCGGGTAGCAGGACGAGGAAAAGGAGGAGGAGGAGGAGGAGGAGGAGGAGGCGGAGGAGGAGGGGGTGCACATGGGAGAGGAAGGGGGAGCAGCAGGAGCACGTGAGAGGTGGCAGGGGCGCAAGAGAGGCGAAGAGGTGATAGGAAGTGGGTCGGAGGAGGGAGGATTATGTGAGGAAGGAGAGGCGGCGTGAGGAGGAGTTGAGGGTGATAGGCTATAGCAATGTTTAGGGTTCCCCCGATCTCTGCAGGAACCCGCGCCCCCGTGGAAGCGCGATCTCACGGCCGTCTATTGCCCGCCATCTTCGCTCTCCGGGATCCCGAAGCCCATCCCCATCACCAAGCTGTTCCCCGACCCGCAGCCCGACGAGCAGCCCGACGAGCAGTCGGACGACGGCACCGCCACGGTGCCTGGCACCGCCGAGGAAGCCGCGGACCTCGCCGCAAGGTGACCCTCGTCGTCGTCGTCGTCGTTGTCGTCGTCGAGTTGGTTGTCGTCATCGTCGTATTTATTTCTCCTCCTCCTCCTCCTTCACTTTCTCTTCCTCCTCCTCCTCCTCCTCCTCCTCCTCCTCCTCAAGTTGCCCCTCCACCTCCGCCTCGTCATCCTTCTTTTCCTGCTCAGCTCCGTCCTCCTCCTATTCCTCCTTCTCCCTGCTGCCCTTTCCCCCTTATAGTCGACCCCTCCTGCCTGCCGTCCTTCCAGGCCAGCGTCGGTGCCGGTCGTCGACGTGAGCGACGAGGCCAGTGCTAAACCCGATGAGGAGGAGGAGGAGAAGGAGGAGGATGAGAGGGAGGAGGTAGGAGGTAGGAGGGAGGAGGGAGGAGAGAGGAGGAAGGAGGGAAGAAGGGAGGGAAGGAGGGAGGAGGAGGAGGAGGAGGAGGAGGAGGAGGAGGAGGAGGAGGAGGAGGAGGGTGAGAGAGGAAGCCGAGGAGGAATAGAAGTAGGAGGACGAGGAGCATGAGACGGGCAAAACCCCCAAACACAACGCCCTCGGGTCGTTCGGTCCCGTAGTTCTGGACCCCAGTACATTCCTCCTCCCAATATTCCTCTTCCTTCTCCTCCTCCTCCTCGTCCCCCTCCTCCCTCCTCCCTCCCCCCTCCTCCCTCCCCTCCCTCTTCCCTCCTCCCTCCTCCTCTCCTCCTCTTTCTCCTCCTCCTCCTGCTCCGACCCTCGTCTCACTCTCCTCCCTCCCCCCGCCCTTCTATAGGAGGAGCCGCCGCCCGCGCGCGCCGAGGGCGCGAACCAGCAGCCCGGGCCGCCCGCGCACGAGGGCTCGCCCGAGATGCAGCTCGCGCACGGGGCGCCCGAGGCGCAGCTCGCCCACGGCGCGCCCGGGTTGCAGCGCGCGGCCCCGTCGCCCGAGGTGGCGCTCGCGCCCCACGCGCCTGAGGTGGCGATCGTGGCCCCGTCGACGCCGCTCGCGGCCCCGTCGACGCCCGGGGTGCAGCTCGCGGCCCCGTCGCCCGAGGTTGCGCTCGAGGCCCCGTCGACGCAGCTCGCGGCCCCGTCGCCCGAGGTTGCGCTCGAGGCCCCGTCGACGCCCGAGGTGCTGGCCCCGTCTTCCCAGATGCCCGCGGGGGCCGTCGACGATCTGTGGACCCTCGCGCCCCCGTGCCTCGTGCAGGACTCGGCGCCCCCGCAGCCTAGGCCCCCGGAGGTGCCTCCTCCCCTTCCTCCTCCTGCTGCTGCTCCTCCTCGTCCTCCTCCCCTGCTGCTGCTGCTGCTGCTGCTGCTGCTGCTGCTGCTGCTCCTCCTCCTCCTCCTCCTCCTCCTCCTCCTCCTCCTCCTCGCGAGCGGCGGAACTATCTCTTGGACCCAGACATCTTCGGCCCCACCCTGAAGTGCGAGGTTGGGGGCCCCTTCCCCCTCCTCCACCTCGTCATCATCCTCCTGCTCCTCCTCACCCCCCTCCTCTTCTTTGTCCTCGTCGTCTCCAGCACCTTTCTCCTCCTCCCCCCTCCCATCCTCCTTGTCACTCCTCCTCCTCTTCCTCCTTCTCCTCCTCATCCCATCCTCATCCACCCCCTCCCCTCATCCCAATCCTCCCCCCTCCTCTCTCCTCTCTCCCTTTATCCCCCCTCCTCCTCCTCCTCCTCCTCCTCCTCCTCCTCCTCCTCCTCCTCCTCCTCCTCCTCCTCTTCCTCCAATCCGCATCTCGGTCCCCGTCGCTGATGGCGCAGCTTCCGCCAGCGACGCCGAGAGCGAGGATGTCGACATCGACGCGATGTTGGCACAGCTTCCAGAGTGCGATAACGACAAGCCCGTCGAGGACATCCTCAGGGAGTGCCTCGAGGCCATCAGTAGCGACAGCGACGGCGACGACGACCTGCTCGCGTTGCCAGACGATGTCGACGCCAAGGGGGCCCCGCGGACAGGACAGCGTTTTGGGGGGGAAATCGCACCATAACGAGAGGAGGGAGAAACGGAGAGGTTGGAGGAAAACAGGAGGCAGGAGGATAAATGGGGAGAGATGAGAGAGGCGAGGAGGAAGACGAGGCCACCAGAGAGGGTAAGTGGGGGGGCATGCTATGCAGTGAACGCAAAATGAACTCCCCAGACGACCCCGACCTGGAGATCGCCCAGGCCCCCACTGGCACATCGCGCCCTACGCGACCGACATTTCTCAAGGAGGTGGAGCGCATGACAAAGGCAGGCTGCACTCAACGTAACTCTTCCTTCGTCTCCCCCTCCAAATCCTCCACTCTTCTTCTCCCCCTGCCCATACTCCTCCTCCTCCTCGTCCTCGCCCCCCTCCTCCTCTTCTTCCTCCTCCTCGTCCTCGTCCTCCCCCTTCTTCTTCTTCCTCAGTTCCCAGCCATATGACCCTCCTGCTCCTCCTCGTCATCCCCCCCCCCTTTCCCCCCGCCTGGCTCCTCCGCCCCCCCCTCTTCCTGCCCATTTTGGGCCCGCTTGCATAAGTGTTTGCGCGCCCGGCAGGGCGTGTCCGCCGTGGTCACTCTGAAGAAGCCGAAGGCCCAGAACTTTGCGCGCGTTCGTAAGCTCGCGCAAAAAAACATCTTGAAAAAGAAAGCGACGTTCGCGAGGGGCACGGCGAAGAAGCAGAAGCCGAAGGGATCGACGAAGGGCAAGGGCAAGAAGAAGGACAAGGGCAAATGCAAGAGCAAGGGCGGCAAAAAGCAGAAGGGCAACGGCAAGGGCGCGCAGAAAGGCAAGGGGACGACGCCGCCTCCGTGCCCGGGCTTGGCCATGGGCGGCAAGGGCGAAGGCAAAGGCAAGGGCAAGGGCAAGAAGGGCGGCATCGTGGTCAAGGGCGCCCACGCCACCAGGAAGGGCAAGGACGGCGTCCCGAACGACGCGCAGGCTGCATCAGCTTCCTCCGCAG